CCCCCAAGTCTGACCCTCACCCCATCTAGCACAGCATGGGCTCCCGGAGCTGCACCCTGCTCCTGCTCAGGTGCGGAGCCGAGGGGCTGGGGCTCCCCAAACCATCCCTCTATCGGTGTCCCCCACCTTGTTTACGTGCCAGGTCTCCCCAGCGTCGCGCCGCCCAGCGTCCGACCCTCTCCCCGGCCCGATGTCTCCCCACCGGCCACCGGGCGGGGTGCAGGGCCACCGGAGGGAGTTGGGGACAAGCCGATGCCGCGGCTCTGTGGTTCACAGCTGCCATGGTTTTAAGGGGTCACCTCTTGAAGGTTGATGTCGGTTTTGGGGGATGTTGCTGGCTGCTTTGGTGCTGAGGTGGCTTGGCTGTCTCTCCGGCCGTCTCACAGCAGAAGGGCAGGTCACAACCTGGGGCTGCCCGCAAAGGGAAGGAGCACGGGTGCTCGCAGAGCTCCCCCGGCCATTGGTCACGGGCCCCGGGCTGCCAGCTGCACCTCGCTACTGCAAAACTTGCCTTTTCCCTTCCTCTGACTCCTCCTGGAGCGTGGCCACGTGCATCTCCAGCCAGGCCAGAGCGAGGGAGAGGAATGCTGAAAGCTGGGCCATGACCCTCCCTGCACGCCGGGGAACTGAAACACCTTGCCAAGTATTCCCTTTCCCCATCCTCGGGTCATTCCTCGGGCTGGCTTCCCTGTTGGAGCAGTCTCTCCTTGAGCCGAAGGGTTTCAAACCCATCTGGACGTGGGTGTGTGCCTGCGACAGCCGGCCTGAAAACCTCTGCTGCAGGATGAAGCTGGGGAGCGTGCAGCAGGAGCCCGTCGGTGCTGGGTTTTGCTGGGGAAAAGGAATTTGCGCGTCATTCCCCATTGCTGCATCTTGCCAAGTGCCCCAGGGAGCTCCCAGTGCCCACTGGAGGGATAAGGGTGCTCACTGAGCCTCCTGGCTGTGGCCTGGGCAGGATTTCACCTTGTGTCTTTCTCCCAACCCTGGCAGGGCTCCATTGTGGTGGGGATCGACTACGACTGCCGGGAGAAGACGATCTATTGGACCGATGTGGCCGGCCGGACCATAAGCCGGGCGAGTTTGGAGCCAGGCGCTGAGCCGGAGACAGTCATCAACTCAGGTGTGCTCCCATCGCCAGGGACACCCGCCCGCAGCCACATCAGCCAGTCCATGCCAGTTTGTGGCCATGGCGGGCCTGGGGCGG